TTAAACAATTTTTGTTAACAAAGTTTTTTTCGTATCTTCAAAAATAACGGAGACATTCAAAGTGATCAAGTTACATAATTCAGTGTGTATATTCTGACAAATTCAATATATTGTAATATGTTATATATCTCTTTGAATCTCCAATAAGTAAATCATTTATTTTATTATTGAGGGTATAGGATTATTTGTATATTACTCTATTACGGAGTAATATAAAATGTTCAATAATGTATGGAATATTGCATGGAATTATTTGACTACATCTTTTAGAGTTAAATAACTTATCATCGGAAAAATTATTATAAAATAGCCTAAACATAAAATTTTAATTGAGTAACCATCGGCTTATTTTCATCACTGTTCTTCCTTTTTTTAACTTTTTGCTTTCGATACTATTCCTTATATGTAAAAAAACATTATCACCTCAAATCAATTACACGAATATAATTAAGAAAATGGCGTTAAGAAGAGAATATTTGGTATATAAAATGGCTGTATGGCACATATTCGCATAACTATTTGACAATTGCAATGCTAGGTCCACATTAGGCAGAACTGCCCGCGAATTGTTTGCCAATAGCAATTTGGACACTAGCGAATTGCGATTAGATTACAACGAGCAACGAAGTGCTCACTTCATAAATGGTATATCAAAGAACCTATTCGCTAACTCGAAATGTATGTGGATGCATCGAAGGTCGCAAGCAATGAACACTCCAATGAACAAGCCTGAAACTACTAGCAAGCTACTCGCTATACTCGATACTAGCGTGGGTACAATACTTATAAATTGCTCGCGAGCAGCTCGCAAACAGCAATCCTGCCCAGTGTGGACCAAGCGGTGTGAACGCCGCATAACCGCGTTTTCCGTTCGATAATTTTAAAGGCAATCGTCACGATACTCGACGTTCTACGCAACGTGCGTCGACAAAAGGCCAAAAGTCACACAATATAAATTTCATTTCTCATCCGAGAGACATCTATCTAGGCACGTTACTACGGTCCAATGACCAAAGGTATCATTTTGTTGCAGTTTAATTGCTGCGGAATATATGGATATGGGGACTACAATGGCACAGCATGGTGGAGAGATGCGCAAATTTCGGGGAACAGGAGGCAAGTGCCGCTCACCTGTTGCGTTTTAAAAAATACAGAGGTACGGAAAGCCGATTTATTTTTCACAATCCTTTAAGGTGGCAATATATGTTAATAAAAGAGCATGCCACTGACGAGTAGTTCGTATGTTAATAAATGGCACGCTGCGACAAATGTATTATACATTTGCTAGAGACATAGCATACTTTTACACGCAGCTTGAATAATTGTTATAAATATGTTAGTTATACACGCATTATACGCATACGATTGTTTGAGTAGCATCAATAACATGTTGTCACACGCATAAGACTGAATAGCATTTTTTACATAAGAAATACGGACGTTTTTCGTTAGCAAAATGAAATAAACTTTGCATTTTACTTTTACTTGCAAAGCAACGCACAATTAAACTTACTCCTGATGAGGTTACTCCCCAAATTCTTTATTTTATTTTCAATACATTTAATTATTAAACTATTATTATTCATTTCTTCAAGATAAACTCTATCTCTATTTTATTTTTATTAAGTAATGATATTGAATTTCACAAATATTCGTATTCTGTGAATATATAAATGTATAAATTTGATTGTTTTACTAATTTCTCAACGAGACATTGTTAAAAAAATGAAATAGTTTCACAAAAAAAAAAAACTCGCATACTTTTTGCAAGCATTCTTTTTTATGTATAAATGTGCCAGTAGGTATCATTTGCCAACTTCTGACATACTTATTCCCATCTTTAATTTTAGACATTATAAAACGTCGACAATATCGAATACAGATTTCAATTCCAATGTTTCAAAAGTGTTCATTAAAAATGTAGAATTATTTCGTGTTTTAAATTACTGATTACTAAATATATAATATTCATTTTATTTAATGCTTGATCTTCTTATCTCTTTGTGTCTAATAAAACCGTAAATGTAAGCCATAAAAACGAATGGAAGTTACTTCTCACTCGTAACGACTTTTAACTCGGTCGGATTATTTTTAAATCGCCGATAGGACACCGAGTTCGCCAACAATGTTTATTCACCGACATGTTGAAATTATCGACAATCATTTCACCGACGATGTTTTCATCGACAGGATTTTCCAATGATCAAGGCTTTATTTTTCGAGAAAATCGACTTTACAAATTTCTTCAAGTATATTTCAACTTAGCTAATTCTAAACATGACAGAAAAGAAGAATTATTCGTTCAAAAATAAATAAAAGATGTAGAATAATATTTTTTTTATTTTCTAGCTTCATTTTCTAGAAAATAGATTTTGTATTTATTTCGTTAAAAATTACACATGCGTTTGATAAATCTTCAAACATAATTTTCTCAAGAACGGAGCCACAAATCAAAAAATGTTATTCTGTATTTTTTTCTTATTTTTTGCATCCTGTTTATTATTACCATTAGTTTATAATTAATTAATTTATCATAAGATATAATCCATCATAAATAATAAATCTAAATATTTTTGATTTTTATTGAATAAAAATAATTGAAAATGATGGCAACTAGGAACAAAATGTATTATATGGTTTATGAAAGAAAGCAATGACACAGTATACAAGCAAGTATCAGTAAAGTTAGACGCGCTGAGTTTAGTAGAAACGTCCAAACGCGAATCGACAATTCGTTAAATGTAGTTGATCTTTGCGACATGAAATCTGAATGTGCGATCACGCTTCGTGGGAATCAAATGGTTGTAAAATCTATACAAAATCGTAAAATCTGTACGAAAGAGGAGGAAAATGTTGTAGTCCTTGTCCTTTTAAAGTTAAAATATTTCCTAAACTAATAGTTTTTCGACACACGTAAGTTAATATTCTTTTACAAAGAACGACAAGCTGTGTCGACTAATTATCAAAAAATATCATATATCATTCCATCTACAAAAAAGATTGAAGACAACGTTCCCTGTACAACATTGAAAATATAAAAAATTAGAGTACACTATCAAACTGATCGTACAAAACATTAGAACTTTTTCCTTTTTCATTTTTTTTTTTTTTTTTTTTT